AGCTATTGACCTTTAGCCTCTCTCCTTCGCTCTCTCTTTTTATAACAATTTCCCAATTTTTCTTTCTTTCTTTCTTTCTTTCTTTCTTTCTTTATTTCTTTCTTTCTTTCTTACTTATTATCGACACTTTCACTTTCTCTACCTATTTGCCTTTACCGCCTCTCTTTCTCTCTCTCCCTCTCTCTTTTTATAATAATTTCCTAATTTTTCTATAATGGTTCTTTCTTTCTTTCTTTCTTTCTTTCTTTATTCATTTATTTATTATTTGCGATTCTTTATTTCTGTCTCTTCTCTCTCTCGATATTGTTTTCTTTCTTTCTTATTTTCGACACTTTCTTACTTTTCTTTTTCTCCTCTAGCTCTTTCTTTCCTCTTTCTTTCTTTTCTTACTTTCTTTCTTTCTCCTCTTTCTTTCTTTCTTTCTCCTCTTTCTTACTTTATTTCTTTCTTTCTTTCTTACTTCCATATTAATCTCTATATATCTTATGCTCTTTTTTCAGATATCGAACGCCTTTTTTTCTTTAATGGTTCTTTCTTTCTTTCTTTCTTTCTTTCTTTCTTTATTCATTTATTTATTTTGCTTGTCTGCCTTTCTACTCTTTCTTTCTTTCTTTCTTATAACCTATTCTTTCTCTCTATAGCTATTGTCTTTTCTCTCCAACTCCCTGACTCTCATATTTCCTTATTTTTTCTATTATCGTTCTTTCTTTCTTTCTTTCTTTCTTTTTCTTTCTTTCTTTCTTTCTTTCTTTCTTATTACTATTTTATTTTTCTCTATCTCTCTCGTTATCCCCACGTCTCTTTACACACGCATACTCTCTCTCTTTCTCTCTCACTCACTCTCTCTTTCCCCTCCTCTCTCTATTTCTTTACTTCAATTCTCTCTTTCTCCTATGGATCCTCTCACCGACAACACAACCAACGATCATAACATCAGACAAGCAAATGTCTCTCTCTATAAAACACACGCTCCAAACATCAGCGTACTTTCATTAACAACCGCCCCCCCACCCCGTTGCCGCCCCCACTAATTCGAGCGAGGAAACTACAGCGCCTTCCCAGAGATGGAAAGACGAAATCACAGAATCAGCGGACGACTACACATTTTTCCCCTCCACGATTGCAGGCGGAACACACACACGCACACACACACTTATCAGACGACAAAAGAGGAGGTGATTTTAACGTTGGCTACACCTGCCACCATTCTTCCTCATTTCTTGGGGGGTAGGGAATCAAATAGGGGGTGTCGGCTAACACGTGTACAGTAGAATAAAAGCCGCAGCTAGTGTACTAGCGTTAAGAAGGGGGTTTCTTTTAAAAAGCATAAAGTGCCTACTGCCGAGATAAAATCGTGTCTACAGCTACGACTCTTACTGTGGGTGTGGCTCCCGTGTTGCTTAATTTCGCTTACCAGTGGGAGTTGATAGATATCTTATACCTACACGGAAGCATATGTTATGTGGGTTTCGAGAAAAAAGAAAAAAAAAAGACAAAGAATAAAACAAGACGTTACTAATAACGCAGACTTAAGGCAAATAACGCATCTACACGAATCCGAGGGCGCTAGGCTATTAGGTCGGCTAAATAAATCCCTATTGCAGACGCTCGCTCAGGCACATTTGTGTTTGCTTAAAAACCACCGTGTGCATCTGTGGATTATACTTCACTATACCGAGCTTAGTTACAGATTCTGGGAGAGAGCGCTTAGTTATCTAGAGGGGTCAGTCAGACAAGGCCAGCACGATCACACCCTCGGTCACGATGACTTATGTAATGGAGTATTTAACAAGAGAGACTAACAGATAATGTTTTAATGGCATACACGAGAGCCAGTCAAGGTAGAGAGTTGCTGGATGAGGTTTTTTTAACATCGTACACAGGAAGGGATTTTAGGAGCCTATGTAGGCAATGGCAGACTGTGTGGAACATTTCTAGCGGGAAAAACTTGTAAAAGGATTCAGTCAGAAGGATCTACTTAATCCCAAAATGTAGTCAAAGAAATCAAAAGTAAGTAAATATATATTTAGGTAAATAAAATATGACATCTCTGCAATATTGTTTCATTTATTCAATGAATGAATAAAACGACAAAAAAAATTTAATAATTTTGTGATTTTTTTCCTTTTTACAGTTTTCGGTTATACTTAAATTGATTAGATTTAGGGCCCAACAGGAAATATCCTGATAAGCCCTTCCGCCACTGCATCTATCTATCTATCTCTCTCTCTCTCTATATATATATATATATATATATATATATATACCACAGTCTGTTCACATCACTCTATATATCTCATCTTCACATCATATATATATATATATATATATATACAGTGTAACCCGGATATAAGAAAGTTGTCGGGACCGGAGAAGAAGTATCTTATATCCGGGTTTCTCTTATATCCGGGTTTGGTCTATTTTATATACATTAACACAGGCTCTAATTTGGGACCAGAGAAAATCTCTCTTATATCCGGGTTTCTCTTATATCCGGGTCTCTTATATCCGGGTTACACTGTATATGTAGCTAGACATGCATCTATCAAACCACCTCATATATCTCTCTCTATATATCATATCTATCTATCTATCTCAGTCTGTTCATATCTATCTATCTATCTCTCTCAATTTATTGATATCTTCGCACTATATTTATATCTATCTATCTGTCAGTCTATATTTATATCTATCTATCTGTCAGTCTATTTATATGCTGTATCTATTCCTATCTCTATATATATATATTTTATGTTTAACGTTCTTTTTTATAGATACAAGTATTTAAGTAAATGCTCTGTTTATAATAAACATTATTAAATAACATTTACCGGCCTGAATGTCCGAGAAATTTTCATAGAAAATATTCGTCCTTTGAATTCGAACCTGCATCCTATACGGAACCGTCATTTACGCTGAGGTGTCTAACCTCTCGGCCATAAAGGAGCGTTCGGTAGGCAAGGTCGAATTTACTGCTTATAAACTTGCCTACCGAACGCTCCTTTGTGGCCGAGACGGTAAGGCACGTCAGCGTAAATGACGGTTCCGTATAGGATGCAGGTTCGAATCCTGTCAAAGGACGAATATTTTCTATGAAAATTTCTCGGACATTCAGGCCGGTAAATTTCATTTAATACTGTTTATTATAAACAGAGCATTTACTTAAATACTTGTATCTATAAAAAAAAACATAAAAAATGTCTTTAATAAATAAATTGTCGGACTTTGTCCATTTCTTAATGTATATATATATATATATATATATATATATATATATATATCTATATATATAATTATAATAATTATAACGCCAGGTGAATTTTCTCTTTAAACTTTAGCAATTGAGCTCATTTTTTTATATTTTGTATATTATTATATAGTATTAATTATCTTAAAGTTTCAATTAATTAATATGAATAGAAAATCAGTTATTGTAAAATTATTCAAAAACTCAAAAAACGATTGGCCAAAACTATAAGGCCATTAAAAAATTATAAGGCCATTAAAAATTATAAGGTCATTAAAAAATTATAAGGCCATTAAAAATTATAAGGTCATTAAAAAATTATAAGGCCTTTAAAAATATAAGGCCATTAAAAATTATAAGACCATTAAAAAAATTATTACAAAAGTGACAAACACTAAAAATTAATAGAAATTAATATTTACTTTGTGTTCCGTTATTGGCTATTACTTCAAACACTAGTTTGCATAGAATAGATTAATTTCTAAGTGTCGTTTTGGTTAATTGAATCCCAGGCTTTCAAAATTTCACTTTTGAGCTCTTCATTGTTATTAAATTGATTATCATTCTTGTATACTCGTCGAACCAAGATCTTGCAAAATTCTCGATAGGATTGAAATCGGGTGACCTGATGGACCAATTCATAACATTGATTTGATTAGCTTAAAACGACTCCATAGTGGACTTGACTTTGTGAACAGGAGCGTTGTCTTGCTGAAACATTTAATTTCAACCAGCATTTTTTTTTCCAAAAGGCAAAAGAGCAATAGACAAA